TACGTGTTTCAGTGTTTCTGAACATTTTTTCTTAATGTTTTTTTATCCAGGGGTTAATATTTTCTGTGTAAAGTTGATTAATATGGGGGGTGACTTTCATTATGAAATACTTAAATCCCGCTGGAGCCCAGTGAAAATGCTTGACATAGGCTGGTTCATTATTTCCACTGTTGTCCAAGGTCAATATTTCTGATTTATCAAAATAAATTGACTTTACATCCAGATATCAGCCCAAATTCTGTGATACACTCAGTTAAAACTGGTAATGATTTTGTGGGTTCATTTAACGTCAAAAGGATATCATCAGCGTATAATAAAACCTTATGTTGTTTTGTACTTTTTGTTAGGCCCTGAATATTTGTTTTTTTTTTCTCTAATAGCCACAGCTAAAGGCTCTGTAGCCAGTGCAAATAGCATAGGAGACAGTGGGCTTCCTTGAGTCGTGCCTCTTGTTAGTTTAAAGGGAGCAGATAACAAATTATTTGTTATAACTGAGGCTATAGGTGCTTTATATAAGAGATTAATTCACCCCAGAAAATTTGACATGAAACCAAATCTCCTTATAACCTCAAGCATATATATTCTCATTTGATTGTATCGAATGCCTTATCAGCATCCATAGAAACAACTGCACCCAGTTTTTGACAAAAAATAAGATCAAGATTAAGCAAATAATACTAAATAGGCATCTTGTGTTGTGATAAGAGGTTCGAGCCCTAATAAAACCAGTCTGGTCTGCATCCACAATGGAGGGCATAACAGACTCTAGCCATTATCTAATAATAGATAGCCATTAGATAATATTTTATTGTCCCCTCCGAGAAGGTTAATTGACCTATAGGAAGAACACAGCTCTGGATCCTTATTTTTGTTTACTATTAGTGTTATATTGGCCCCATACATGGATTCTAGAAGTTCAGACTCTTGAAATAATTTATTAAAACCCCTCAACTAGAGGTTATCAATTTTCCCCTTCATCACTTTATAAAGCTTGACTTTGAAGCTGTCCTCTCTTGGACATTTCCCTGAGTGAAGTGAAGAAAAGAGCTTTATCCACTTTTAACTGGGCAATAGGGGACTCTAGTAAGTTTGCTTGATCCTCTGACATCTGTGTGAAAGTTAGGATATTTAAAAAGCGACCTTTCCCGAGCCTCTCCAGGTCAATCTCTGAACTATATAAAGTAGCATAGAATCCTTTAAAGCACTTATTAAACTTACGATTATTTATTTGCCTTTGGTTATTCTTATCTTGTATATCAAAGATGAGGACTAAACAGGGGCATTCCTTGCCAGCCGTGCTAAAAAACGATTTGTTTTTTTTGGCCAATTCAAATATTTTTTGTTTAGCAAATAGAATATGCCTTTTCTGCTTTCCTAGTTATTAAATTATGCAGTGCTGTTCTTGTTGATTTAAGCGCAATTAGGGTCGCTTCTAATTTTGTTATATAGTAGCTCTCCTCTAATTGTTTTAGTATATTTTCAATTTCAAGTTGCTTTGCGGCTTGCTCTCTTTCAGGTGGACCTGCTATGCCCTTCCCCCATTTTCACACCCCTGCATGCCCACAGCAGGAGCAGAACCTGGAGACCAGTGAAGTTAGTTTGGCAAACACAAGGTTTGCAACTAACTTCCCAGAAACTAGGAGAACCAAGTTGAGTTAGCAACCCAACATCTAATTCTGCAAAGACACAGAGCAACTGGCCTCCTCAGATCTGCACCTTCGGTACAAGGACACAGCAAAGACTGCTTCTGGAACCACAGCTCTTTCCAGCCTTCCACTGCTGGCTAACAAAAGCAGCACACCACAAAGCAACTCTTCCCTCCATTCATTCAAGGATTGGTAATGTAACATCTGGGCATACCATCACTGCAGTTGTACAGGCTGAGCAAGACTATTTAACTCCGTCAATTGTGATTTATGCTGTTTATTGAGTTATTGTTGTGAGTTTTGCATGCAACTCAACATCCTCTGTACTAACCCACACCCTTTGCAACACATATCGCAAACACATGTGTTAATTTGCTTTGCTTTAATGATGACTAAATACATTTGCAATCGTATAAGTCGCCCCCAATAATCATGCGGGTGTAGTCGATATCAGCTAATTGACTTAATAAAGATGCACAAAAGCATAGACATTTCCTAACAAAATATTTCCACCATGTAGCACCCCTTTCACTAGAACTTATCTTCCTTCGGTGCCTTTACAGCAAGCTGTTAAAGTAAATGGAAGGTTTTTACAAATTAGGATAATCACATCCCTTTTATTTGTTGAGTGTGATGGGAAGAAAACCTGACCAACCTATTCCCCACAATATTTTTTGTGTTCTACATCATTTGAATGTGTGTCCTGTAGAAAAGCTGAATGGATCTTGTGTTTTTTTAAGACAGTTCAGGACATATTTCCTCTTATCACATTATTAGAACCTTGGGTATTCAGTGTACATATTCTAATGGTCATTGACAACAAGTTGTGTTATGAAGTGTGTACAATGTATAAATTTAGCCATGAAACATAAGGTGGACCAGTCTGTAGCTACAAATGTAAAATTGACTCTGATGAACATAAAAATGTGTTCCAAGCAAGAACAGAACAAAAAGCTTGGAGCCACTAAAAACTTAAACACAGGGAAAAAAAAGTGTTGAAGAAAAACCTAAAAGATAATAAAATCTAACCTTGCCTAGTTGTACTCCTTGTAACAAACAACAGCTGTAGGAGATCAAAATCAAATGAGCACAAATTGCAGCCATGTAAATACCAGTGTATATTCAGTTATATGACAATAAAATGAGATAGGGAGAGCCCCACTGTGCCCTCATTTCACGTTATTCTGCATCTAGCAGTCATACCTTATGCAGTCCCAGACTATCTACCCTCAAGGTTTATTTTGTCATGGCAGTTTATTGATGTAGTCATTAATTTCTTCCATAGTCGAGAAGAAAGAGCTGGTACCATTGGGATGAAAGATTCTGATTACAGCAAGAGTACAGAATGCCAGCTTCTCTCAGTAATTTGTGGGCGTTTGCCAACTCCTTTCTCTTTCTCACAACCCCCATGGAGAAATCCTGATGAAAAGACACGTTTTCACCCTCAATATTTATTGTGCCTCCTTTTCTTGCCACGTAGATGATTCTCTCTTTGTCGGCGTAGTTGTGCACCCTCACCAGAACAGTTTTCGGACCCTCCTTACTGGTGTGTCTCATCGGGCTGTGTGGTGGGCTCTCTCTATCTTAATTCGCACCTTTTGCATATTCAGGACATCTAGTATCAACTATTCAAAGAAATCAACAGGTGTTTTGCTCTTCACACCTTCTTTAAGCCCGACGAGCCTCATGTTCTGCCTTTGAACTTGGTTTTCCAAACTCTTCAGGCAATCTAATGCCTTCTTTAGCGAGGCATCCAGAGCTCCCACCTGGGGTGTAGTTGTAGCTGAGCGATCCTCTAAGTCTGAAACCCACTGCTCTACTGTCCTCATCCTCTCGATGAGGCTGTCAAGTTTCTCCAAGACTTCACTAACTGGTCTAATTTTGCACGCAAACTTAGCATCCAACATCTTCTCTATGTTAGCAGTAACACTCAACAGTTAATTTGTCTTGGTGTTTATTCACCTCTTTGCTGTCAGCAGGGTTAGTCCCATACACTGCATCACCCTCCAGGTCATGATCATTGTCTTGGCTAGCATGGGCAGCATTAGCATTGCCTTTACCTCCCTTTTTATGTGTAAAAAAGTGCCAAAAAGTTGTTGAAAGACATTATGGGTATAATGTACAGCGGGGTGGTTTTCCACTGGCAGAAAATGTATTAAAAGGGGAAAAGCATTGTAATCCAGCTGGGAGCTGAATTTTTATGTCTGCTCTGTTTGGCGCATCACGTGATCCTTTTTTGTTACTTTTGAAAGTTTTGGTTTAATGTATCATCATGCTGCAGTCCCTCTGCTGTCTGCATGTTGGGACTTATCTCTTCCAAACACACACACACACACACACACACACACACACACAGTGAGGTCAGAGAACAGCAGACAGACCGCGGTGCAGATGAAGTAAAGATAACGCAAAGATAAATCTAGTTGATGACAACTACACTTGTTACTGTAAGTGCAATAAAACTTCTGGCAGTAAAAAGCCAATCCTTTATCAATACACGTGTTCAGCACATAGACAACGATATTTCAAGCTGCTCTGACTGCAGAGGGAGGAACACAGAGGACAAGATGATCAGGGATGACTGATAGTGACTGATGCGTGTGTTCTTCATTCTTTAATAGTGTGATGTAATGTAACAAGTTTAAAGGTTTTTACTGTTGTAAACTTGACTGTTGCCGCCATAGACTGTATAAAAGTACGTCCTTTTAATTTTCCTAAACACTTGACCTCAATGGAAACTTCATTGCGTAAGATAGTGAGTTATTGCTAACAGTTATTGCCACTTGTTATGATTCTGTGCATTGACAGCTTTTTTTAATCTGTTTCTGTGTTATGTGATGTTCCTTGGTCAGTTATATGACTAAAATTATAGTTTTTTTTTCAAATTCAAAGAAAAAAAAGAAAAAGTTTTTAATATGCTGCTCGCTGCTGAAAATGTCTGACCCATCGACCTGTGATAGTGTATAAACTCTGGAGGTGCTTCACAGACAATTAATGGGAGACAGACTGTATGGACCCACAGAATATTTGTTGTCTTTTTTTATTCCAAAATGATATACCGAAAACATTCTTTCACCATTCACTGTCTGTGGAGCAGCTCTAGACTTTATACCCTATGACATCACAAACTAGGTTTTAAGCACTCTAGCTTCTGGATTTGAAAAATAGTTTATTTTTACCAATAATTTTTGGTTGTCTCAGACCATGGCAGTAAATACATTTCGAAAATGGGCATAGTTCCCCTTCAATCTCTGTGCTGAACAACACAAAAAAAAACAAGAAGAATCATGTTTTTCAACATGATGACATCAGCAGACACATGTACAGTCTTACTGTTTACAGTGCTGGTCTTACTAGCTGTCTGCAGTCCAGCTCTTGTTCTGGATCTTTCTCTACACTGGGGACAGGAGGAGTCTCCTGATGAAGCAGACTGGTCCCAGTATGAGGTGATGCAGTGTCTGTAGAACGCGTGTCCACAGCTGGTAGAGATGGTATCCTTCAAGACGTCCTGACACAAAGCACAGCAGGACAACTGCTCCTCTACAAAAACATGACTCTTCTTCTTCTCTCTGTGGAGATGAACACATTCAGTACATCTTGTCTGGCTGAAAATAATTTGTTTTATTCACACACTCAGTCACAGGCAGTTCAACTATCTCATGGTGGAGCGTCATCAAAATCTCATGAGTAATGCTGTGCTCCACTGTGAGACGTCTTTCAAAAGGCAAAAAGCACCCTCATTTTTTAACAGTCTCTTACTTTGCATCTGAGGGTCCAGGTTCATTACTGAACTTTAGAGGCTCGTGTCTTGACCAGTCACTCTTCATAGACAGACAGCTGGATATTGGAGACTCTGCTCTCTGTCTGTGGAAACAACAAATTTTTTTCACATATTTCTAGTCCTTGTGAAGACCAGAGGTAACATTACAACAAGTCCTACAACTCATATGAGAGAGTTACTGCCCCAAGCGAAGGAGTTCAAGTATTTCTGAGTCTTGTTCACCAACGGGGGTAAAATGGAGCTTGAGATGGACAGGCGGTTTGGTGTGGTGTGCGGTGATGCAGGTACAGCACTAGACTGTTGTGGTGAAGAGGGAGCTGAGCCTTTAGGCAAAGCTTTCAATTTACTGGTCCACCTATGCCCCAACCCCCACCTATGGTCATGAACTGTGGGTTGGCACTTAAAAGCATTCTTAAGTGTAACTAGTCCATACCCATTGAGTACAGCATACCATACCATGACTTAGTCATACCAAAAATTAGAAAAACAAACCCAAAACATTGGTCCACAGGGGGAGCCACAGCGATCGGTCGCATTTTAGCCATTTTTAAGCATTTTTCTGTTGTTATAGCGCCACCCAGTTGCCAATTAGAGTTAAATTTCTCCAGTCACCTTGAGGCATCCTATTCTACATATTTACCAAGTTTAGTAAAAATCAATATGGCAGTTAGGCCTAGATAAGAAATTAGCTCTCTAGCGCCCCCATTTTGTTTGATGGGGTCAATAATGGAGGGGTCCCCTCAGAATATGTGTGGTCATATGCCTACAAAGTTGCGTGGTGATCAGTGAAACCCTTGAGATGTTATACACCTTTATGTGATGAGCCACGCCCTCTGCAATATTCATTGCCTTATAGAAGCTCAGTTTTAGTAAGTTTTCCAACTTTTGCCAACAGGGGACTTTAGATATTGGTCCCTAGATTATGTTCACCCAGTTTCATGCAGATCGGTCAAACTTCCTAGGACGAGATCGATTGTAAGTGTTTTTCAAGAAATTCAAAATGGCGGAAAATCTGTATTACCGGAAGTTATGGGTTCTTGAGGCAGATTTGTTCCTCATGAGGAGAGGCATTTCTGTGCAAAGTTTCATGTCTCTACGACATACGGGGCATGAGATATGCCCATTCAAAGTTTGCAATTTCAATCGGTTGCTATAGCGCCCCCCTTTGGCCAATTAATGTAATATTGCTTCATTTGCATCCTCCCATGTCCCTCTACCACTGTGCCAAATTTCACATGGATTGACCAAGTCAGTGAGGAGAAAAACGTGGAACAGACACACACACACACACACACACACACACACACACACAGAGTTTTTGTCATTAAGATTCTTCCTGCTCATTCTGCTTTTCCATTCTGCTGTGAGTTTACCATGTCATTTACCAGTTAAACATGATGGATATAAAAACAGTTGGGAACTAAATGTGGAATTATGAAATCAATCAGTCCCCTGAAGTAACAGAACAGAACAGTTGGCCCCTGAGTGAAAGTCTGAGGTTTATCTCCCACCCTCCCTTTGAGGATTTTCTTGGTCATTATACCACGGTAGCTGCCTGCAGTGTCAGAAACAGCCGCTGCCTGGTGCATCTCATACTGCAGCAAAGGGTGCCTCTGTGCCTTGGTGTCTGCCGCCGAGGTCCACTAACAAAGCGGCAGTATTTGACGAACTGGGAGTGAGAAGCTGTTGTCCACCTGTATTTTCTTTCACAGTGATGTTCAGGAGGAAATCTGTGCCACGATATTCTGCCACCCCTCTCCCATCTATTTGTACATGTATTACCACACAAGACAACACCATGGTTACAGTGATTATCTTGTATCTTTCTTATGTACCAACCAGGTTCAAACAGTATCACCGTTGGTGCTGCCTGTGTTTTGCCCACCAGCAACTACGTGTCTCCTATACCTGAACACCCTTGTAAGTATACAGGTAATTTAGTTTTCCTTCTTATGTATGCTTTCATTGCTACTCTTATATACTTTGTTCTATTTAAAAGCATATTTTATTGTTATTTTCTGTTGTCAGTTGATAACCAAATTTAAAGGCCAAAGCCAAATCATTTGATCAGGACATCCTTGATGACTGAATAAATCAATACCTCATGTAATTGTAAAAACAGTGTTGTGGTGTAGATTATCAGAAAATAATAAAAACAGAATAGTCTTCAGGTCAGTTTACAGTCAAAACAGTCTCTTACTTTGCATCTGAGGGTCCAGGTTTATTACTGAACTTTAGAGGCTCGTGTCTTGACCAGTCACTCTTCATAGACAGACAGCTGGATATTGGAGACTCTGCTCTCTGTCTGTGGAAACAACAAATGTTTTACACATATTTCTAGTCCTTGTGAAGACCAGAGGTAACATTACAACAAGTCCTACAACTCATATGAGAGAGTTACTGCCCCAAGCGAAGGAGTTCAAGTATATCTGAGTCTTGTTCACCAATGGGGGTAAAATGGAGAACAGTTGGGTGAAAGTCTGGAGTTTATCTCCCACCCTCCCTTTGAGGATTTTCTTGGTCATTATACCACGGTAGCTGCCTGCAGTGTCAGAAACAGCCGCTGCCTGGTGCATCTCATACTGCAGCAAAGGGTGCCTCTGTGCCTTGGTGTCTGCCGCCGAGGTCCACTAACAAAGCGGCAGTATTTGACGAACTGGGAGTGAGAAGCTGTTGTCCACCTGTATTTTCTTTCACAGTGATGTTCAGGAGGAAATCTGTGCCACGATATTCTGCCACCCCTCTCCCATCTATTTGTACATGTATTACCACACAAGACAACACCATGGTTACAGTGATTATCTTGTATCTTTCTTATGTACCAACCAGGTTCAAACAGTATCACCGTTGGTGCTGCCTGTGTTTTGCCCACCAGCAACTACGTGTCTCCTATACCTGAACACCCTTGTAAGTATACAGGTAATTTAGTTTTCCTTCTTATGTATGCTTTCATTGCTACTCTTATATACTTTGTTCTATTTAAAAGCATATTTTATTGTTATTTTCTGTTGTCAGTTGATAACCAAATTTAAAGGCCAAAGCCAAATCATTTGATCAGGACATCCTTGATGACTGAATAAATCAATACCTCATGTAATTGTAAAAACAGTGTTGTGGTGTAGATTATCAGAAAATAATAAAAATAGAATAGTCTTCAGGTCAGTTTACAGTCAAAACAGTCTCTTACTTTGCATCTGAGGGTCCAGGTTCATTACTGAACTTTAGAGGCTCGTGTCTTGACCAGTCACTCTTCATAGACAGACAGCTGGATATTGGAGACTCTGCTCTCTGTCTGTGGAAACAACAAATATTTTGCACATATTTCTAGTCCTTGTGAAGACCAGAGGTAACATTACAACAAGTCCTACAACTCATATGAGAGAGTTACTGCCCCAAGCGAAGGAGTTCAAGTATTTCTGAGTCTTGTTCACCAACGGGGGTAAAATGGAGCATGAGATGGACAGGCGGTTTGGTGTGGTGTGCGGTGATGCAGGTACAGCACTAGACTGTTGTGGTGAAGAGGGAGCTGAGCCTTTAGGCAAAGCTTTCAATTTACTGGTCCACCTATGCCCCAACCCTCACCTATGGTCATGAACTGTGGGTTGGCACTTACAAGCATTCTTAAGTGTAACTCTTCCTGCTCGTTATGATTTTCCATTCTGCTGTGAGTTTACCATGTCATTAACTAGTTAAACATGATGGATTTAAAAAGAGTTAGAAAATTAATGTAGAATTATGAAATCAATCAGTCCCCTGAAGTAACAGAACAGAACAGTTGGCCCCTGAGTGAAAGTCTGAGGTTTATCTCCCACCCTCCCTTTGAGGACTTTCTTGGTCATTATACCACGGTAGCTGCCTGCAGTGTCAGAAACAGCCGCTGCCTGGTGCATCTCATACTGCAGCAAAGGGTGCCTCTGTGCCTTGGTGTCTGTCGCCGAGGTCCACTAACAAAGCGGCAGTATTTGACGAACTGGGAGTGAGAAGCTGTTGTCCACCTGTATTTTCTTTCACAGTGATGTTCAGGAGGAAATCTGTGCCACCGTATTCTGTCACCCCTCTCCCATCTATTTGTACATGTATTACCACACAAGACAGCACCATGGTTACAGTGATTATCTTGTATCTTTCTTATGTACCGACCAGGTTCAAACAGTATCACCGTTGGTGCTGCCTGTGTTTTACCCACCAGCAACTACGTGTCTCCTATACCTGAACTCCCTTGTAAGTATACAGGTAATTTAGTTTTCCTTCTTATTTATTCTTTCAGTGCTACTCCTATATACTTTGTTCTTTTTAAAAGCATATTTTATTGTTATTTTCTGTTTTCAGTTGATAACCAAATTTAAAGGACTCAGGGCCAAATCATTTGATCAGGACATTCTTGATGACTGAATGAAACAATATTTAATGTATTTATAAAAACAGTGTTGTGGTGTAGATTATCAGATACTAATAAAAACAGAATAGTCTTCAGGTCAGTTTACAGTCAAAACAGTCTCTTACTTTGCATCTGAGGGTCCAGGTTTATTTCTGAAGACTGGAGATTTTTTATTACTCTTCAAAGTCAGCTGACAGCTAGACATAGAAGGCTTTGATCTGTGCCCCTCTTCCTTCAAATAATCCATCTTCCCAAATCTGAGAGAACTGTAACACACATACAGAAAGAGATAAAGTCTGTAACTTCTTATTCATAGGACATATTGGGTGGGTACTTTTATGACATACAATATGGGAGAGCGGGTCGGTTGGGACACTTTTGTAATTATACAAAATAACTTTCGATTACTCACAGACCACTTGAACAGTAATGAAAAGAATTTGATCTCTGAACAGACAGAGGCATCTGTCTGTTCAGAGGCTTTTCAGAGCCCAACTCAAATGTGAAAGACATTTTTTTATTTTTTTTAACGCACAATGTGTGTGCAGTTTCACAAAATTCTGTCTCCCCAGGACAGTTGGGACATCGTGTACTGGGATAGGCTTTAAATATAAATAAGTTGGACATACAGTTTACAACCATGTCTGTGAAAACATGGATGCTCCATACGCAGAAGATCTATACAATCAGCACAGTTTTAAGATAGACACACAAGATTGTCACAAATTCAGTATTTGACCAAATGTCTGAGTCAAGGTGTCGAGTACTGGCCAGAAAAGTGTTTTTACAGGAAAAATATGATGTCACAGTGAAGTTGATCTTTGACCCTTTGGGTATGAAATGTCATCACGTCATCATTTTATCCTGTTAGACATTTGTGAGAAATTTATCATAATAGCATATGAATTCTTGAGTTATGACCAAAAACGTGTTTTGTAAGATTGACCTTGACCTTTGACCACCATGTTTTAATTACTGCATCACTGAGACCAGATAAACGTTTGTGCCAAATTTGAGGAAAGTCCCTTGAAGCCTTCTTGAGATATAGTGTTCACAAGAATGAGACGGACTCAAGGTCACATTGACCTTGACCTTTGACCACCAAAATCTAATTAGTTGTTGAGTTGAAATGGATGTTTGCATCAAATTCAAAGAAATTTCCTCAAGACGTTCTTGAGATACATCATTTATGGGAATGGGACGTACGTTTGTACGTACGGACGGATGAACAACCCGAAAGCATATTATAAACAAATATAAACTGGGGCCTCCCTAGTGTAGTGGTTAGAGCACTCGTCCTCCATGCAGGGGGTCTGCCCATTGTTCCGACTGCCCATTATTTCGACATCCCGTTGTTCCGACCATATTAAATCCATTGTTCCGAAGTCCCGTTGTTCCGAAATCATCATGATGCCCTGTGGTTAAGGTCTGGTTAGGTTTAGGCACAAAAACCACTTGGTTAGGGTCAGGAAAAGATCATGGTGTGGGTTAAAATGAAAAAGTAAGTGGCAAACACATAAGCCGTGAGCGTGCTTCGCCTCAAGCCTTTCCCAGCTGACCCACAGCCGGTCGCAGCGCACCATCAAGGCAGAAATACGCCCGCCGCGAGCCGTTCAGCACCACGGAGAGCTCCCCACACAACCCGGACCCCAGAGTTAATAACAGGAGGTTATGGTGTTTCATTCTCTCAATCAATCAATCAATCTTTATTTATAAAGCACTTTTCATACAAAAAAATGTAGCACAAAGTGCTTTACATGGTTAGAAGAAATGCCCCTCCCATCCACCCCCCAGCCACCCACACCCCCACAGACACACCCACCCACCCACAAACACAGTCATGATGTAGACATAAAAACATGTGGCAGAGCGCAGAGCAACCAGGTGAGGAAACAATACCGCAGGGAGCCGTCTGCACCGGGAGCTGATCACAACCCGTGGCCACCAGGACACCAACACGGAGTCCACCTCAACATGGGCAGATAAAGGGGCCCACACCTCTCTCTCCTCTCTATGACAGTTGTATCTCGACCAGTAGCCTACTTTTGTTGCGTTTGCTGATCCTCTATGGTACACAAATACAGTATAGCCTAGTATAATCACATATCGGAACAACGGGACGTCGGACTAATGAGAGGTCGGAACAATGGGCTGTTGGACCAATGACATGGAGCCCCATGCAGAAGGTCCAGGGCTCAAATCCAGCTGGGCTCGACATCAGCAAAGGCATGCAGTCTCAAGAGGCTCCCACTACCTACAACTAATGTATAAACCTCTGGACATTATCTCATATGTGTTTAAGAAACATTTCCGCTCATGTTAAAAATGTTAACAATATCAGATGATGGTGGTGCTAAAAGCAAGTCTAATGATAAAATTATGGAGATGTGCATGTAGGACAAAACTGCTATTAAAAAGCAGATGTACGGGGCGTCGGTAGGGTAGTGGATAGTGCCAGCACCCCCTATATACAGAGGCGATGCCTCGCTACAGCAGTAACAGGTACACCGACTCGCAACCATTTGCTGCATGTCATCCCCCCACTGTCTCTCACTCCCCCATTTCACTCTCTCCTGTCCATTGAAGGCAAAAGTCCCAAAAAATAATCTTTAAAAAAAAAGGAGACGTACATAAATGCCCCCGAAGAACACCTTAATGCCCCTTTTCTAAATTATTGCTGCCAGTGCCCCCGCAACACTTTGGACTCCCGTGTTAGCTACCAACAAACGTTAAACTGAAACTAGCACAACCTGATAGGCCTGAAAAGCTTCAAAACTTTCCACTGATATGTTTTTTGTATGTGGCACAACTAAAATCAGTATAGCAGAAGACAAATGACAAAAGAGCCAAAACATTTACTTACATGCAGCAGATTTCAAAACTGTGAATACATTGTGAGGAATAGTCAGACGGTCCCCATTTTGAGGTTGAAGGTGAACAGGGCGTGGCTGAGCATAGTGGATGACAGAGTTACTTTCTATCATGCTAAATAGGCAGCACTCTCACCTATAACAGACTAAACAATGAATCAGAATAAAAATCAGCAGATTAATCAATAATGACAGTAATCATTATCTTTATAGTATCAACACTCTACCTGCCTCAGTTCACCTGTATTCCTCTGACTGCTGTGTCGAGTTTGAAATGGAGTCTGAACACAGGGACTTTAGACTTTCACCTTCAGTGTTCCCTCCTGTTGGCACCTCCTTCCTTTATATTCATAGGAATTTTGTTAAGCCACACAGAGTTGCCTGAGGCTCGTTCTCAAGATTTTAGACTCTACTTGGAGCTTAGATTTGAACAATCTATCACTATTATTTTTATTATTTCTTTGGTGCATTAAACTTTGATCAGTGCGTTTACAGGAGGGCAGGGCTGTGTTACACACACACACACACACACACACACACACACACACACACACACACAGTTTAGAGACCTTTTGACAGGCTGTTACAAGGACTATGTCTTATTCGCACACACACACACACACACACACACACACACACACTATATAGTTTTTTTATTTGTTGAGCTTGACATTAGCTTACAATAGAATGACATTTGGCCCTGCACTCAAAACATTCAGGGTTGAGCCTTGACAAAATGACACTGATGCCCGTTACCATTGTGCATGGTGAGAGAGGAGAGGGAGGTAGAGATGCTGTGCTGCTGCCAGAGTAGCTAATGACAGATTTTACTCTGAACAGCAAGTTAGTAAAAGGGTCTAAAAAGTTGGCAATACTGGGTGTTCCTAGATGGAGGTGCATGTGTATGTGTCAGGTGCCTGCATGTGAGTTAGAGGGCGGAGATAGCTATGTTTGCCGCACAAGATTCAGTGTTTGTATAAGTTCATAATTTATATTCATGTTCAATATTTTGGCTATGAAAAGAGACCTGTGGCTATAGCCAACAAGCCAGGTTTTAAACACGCCTCTGCTCTGACTGCCCAGTGTCCCCTACTCTGCTACCTTCCTTTAAATCTAGACAAGACAAGATGTGGTGTAAATGCCTTGTTTCTATCACTCACTTACAGCACTGCACTGACTGTTTAAAGCCTGGATGCAAACACCAGTTAAATATAACATGATAACACGATATTCCTGACTTCCCTTCATTGGCAAGGACCTTCTGAAGGCACCATTTAACAATTGACCATTGCATAATGGGCCACAAAGTGTAGAGCACTTTGTATCCTCCAATTTCAACCCCTGAAGGCTGCATTTATTTGTCTGCCTTTGAAGAGGCCTTTGGAGGAGGACAAGTTTGTCAACTTGAGCGACATTGGGTTTTGAAATGCGCACGATAGGAGGATGCAGCTTTTTAAAATAGAGATGCAACACGCTGCCAAGAAAAAGTCCCTGAGTATCCCATTGTGTTTTCCCCACACGTGGTCCTGTGCTCCCCTGTCTCAGTTGCCTCTAATTAAGGCCTACCTTTTTATCCCTAATGTATTTAGGCTGTGTCCTCAGTCAGTTGTGTGCCTGAGTCTCTTCTGCTGGTAACAGTGACAGGCCAGTGGAATAATGAATAAAAATGAGCACAAAAACAAAGGAAATGGTCAAAACATATTTGGTCATTGAAATAACTTTGAAAGGTTTTTTTTAAAAAGATTTTTTTTTAGTAGTTCACATAGTTTTAACTGAATAAGTGCACTATAATAATCAACAACTTTTCATTCCCAATTTCTCAAAAAGCAACACTTGGTCAATGGCCCTATGTGTTAAACTGTGACACTTGAGGTCCCCCTGTAGCGTCAGTCTTGGATGCTCAGGGATGTGCCAGTTTCTGCTAGTTACATGCATAGTACCTTTGAAAATAAACTTCAGTGTTCACAGGAGATGTACAGTTTTCACTCATTACATGCATACAGTCTCTTTTTAGAATAAACTTACTATGAAGGTTTATTCAATTTTAGGTTCACTTTGTTAGGTTCAGGCAGCAAAAAAAAAATCATTGTTTAGGTTAAAATATGTATGCTTGTTACTAACGAAACATAATGCGATGTATGTCATGTGGCATACCATGTTACTGTAGGTAGTTAAAATAACTTACTGTTGACTTTTGGTTTCAGATAAGACACATACAGTGGTCTCCTTGGTGAAAGTCTTGAGTCTGACTCATCCATCCATCCCAGTCACCTCCCTATATAGACTTTCTCGCTATTTATACTACATCAGTTGCAGTGGGTGTCTAGTATTGATGAAGCCCAGTGCTTCACATAACAGCAGCAACCTCCGGGGCTGAAGAATGCAGCTAACTGCCAAAAACTGCAGTTCCTTGAATGGCCACTTGTGGCTGGCTCTAAAGCAAATTGATCCCCATTGACATCCATGCCCAACCTGTATCATAACCTGTACCTAAAGAGAGAAATTGCTTTGCTTGCTTGCTATCTCACTAACAAAAAACAAACAATAACAAAGCATATTTAGGACCACACTGCACACCATCTAGTTGATACTGTTATCCGACAGTAAAATACCCTTGGTACACAACAGACCATGGAGTTTTAAAGCAGGATTGCAGAGGGCAGCAAGCTTAGCACATGCCTCAGATTTTAACTGTTCTTGGCCAATTGCCAATTTTGCTTCAGCTTTCCTTCTCCCACACCCTGTCCTGCTCCGAATCCCGAGGCCTCTGCTGCCAAGCCTCTTACATCTTGTGCCCCTTTTATTCTCAGGACCTGAGTTTCCTGGTCGTATTAGCTGCAGAGTTCCTTAGAGCCCAACAAATCTGTGAAGCATCCCTGTAGTCGTTTAACAAGCCCTTGTTGAGTTTCCCTTGGTCGCTTTCCTTCGGGTAATTCCTGCTGCCATTTTAAGTGTCTACCATTACTCTGCAAACTCAAGTGGACTTTTATGAAGTCTCAACCCTTCAAGGGAGCGAGTGAACAACGATGTTCAGGCAAGGGCCACATCCTGCAAATGATCTTTTCTGATATATCTTTTCCCTGCATAATGGACTATGTGATATACAGTAAAAGTGTGCAAAATATTTGAACAGCATACCTCAGTTTGTTTGACCTGCTTAATGGCTGCTATGATTCACTTTTAATCCTCTGCTGCTTTTGGATGCTGCCCCCTCACTTTGCATGAGACCACTCTTTTATAGTGCTACATATTACCAGGTGCTGAAGGGAAGTGAAGTAGGGCGTGTTGAATGATTTCCAAAACACTCAGCCGTTCACCAGCTATGTGGTTGGTAGCCCACCCATCCCTGCTTTTCATCAGTATTATAAAGTTGTGCAGAGTCCCTGCCATGGCGAGTTGTGTACAGAATATGTGCTTCAAGCCAAAAATTGTTTTCCTGAAGAAAGACATTTCACTGAAAGTAATTTTTCAAAGGAAATGTTTTTGGTTGTGCTTCTCACTAGAGCCCAAGTGGAAGAGATGGTGAACTGCCAGTGATCAATTTTTGTGTTGACCAACAGGTGTTGAGCAAGAGAGAGCAGCTATGGCAAGACCCCAGGTGAAAACTATGGAGTAATACACTGGTGGGTAAAAAAAAAGAGAGAGAAATTTGATTGCTGCTGCGATCTCTTGATTTAGTTTTTAGTGACTTTCATTCACTGTCACTCAGATAATAAGTAAACTATCTGCACAGCTCCAGACACCAAAATTGCACTGTGCTGTTTGATTGTTACTGACACATCCCCTCACTGTGCCTTTCCTCTGACTTTGGCAAGTCATGTTCGCAGTGACTCAAGGCCACCAAGTGAAAATTCCACCTCTCCTTGATATACCATCTATCAAGAAAACTGAGCTCATAGTGCCAGAAATGCTGGTAAATTGTGTATGTTATTACAGCAGCAGGTGGGGAGTAATGGGAAGTATAATTTGCACATCACTGCATAATTGATATGAAGAGTGAATACTGTGGAAAAAAGGACCTTTTCCATAGCAGACATTTTGACATGTAATTGTAGGAAAAGCACAGGTGTTACTAATAACATTTATGATAGCTCCACAATACCCAAGGCTAAATGCAACAAATCCATCATGAATTTTATTCTTTAAACTTGTGCCTTTCCGACTGTGACATGTCAAAATATCTTTTGTGGAAAAAAACCTACTGTCCAAGGTTTCTCCTGCAGCCAAAACAAATGGCAAACACAATGAAAATGACACTAATATTTAACTTTCAATTGTTCTGCATGGATGCCTGATTATTCAGTGCATACTTATAGTGTTAGATTTTCTTTTCTCATCATCTTAATATATCAGTGTTTTGACACACAGATTTCATGTTAGATCATTTATTTAATTTTTGAAAATCTAAAATTTGCACAATAGTGTCTCCCTGGATAAATGGCCTGAATTCACAACTTTTGGATGATGTCAGCCAATAAACAACTTTTTGTATTCAGATCATGGTTGATCAGTGGTGACATAAGGAATGGTAACAACAAGATTTTTATTTATTGTGGTCATTTTAAACAAAGGAAGACATCACATCCCATATACTATTCCAATCATGCCAGTATCCTGTCCAATACACACAAGATGAATGGAGTAGATATTTTTGGCCACTTCAGGGCAGTGGAAACAAACTGTAAACACAACACACAAATTATCATCTGTAAGGGGAGCATTTCCTAAATTACCTGAATCTTACTATATAATGATGAAAACTCTGTCTGTGGGTGTCTGTCTGTGTCTCTGTTCCACGTTTTTCTCCTCACTGACTTGGTCAATCCATGTGAAATTTGGCACAGTGGTAGAGGATCATGGGAGGATGCGAATGACGTAATATTGCATCAATTGGCCAAAGGGAGGCGCTATAGCAACTGATTGAAATTGCAAACTTTGAATGGGCATATCTCATGCCCCGTATGTCATAGAGACATGAAACTTTGCCATTTTGAGTTTTTTTGAAAAACACTTAAAATCGATCTCTTCCTAGGAAGTTTGACCGATCTGCATGAAACTCGGTGAAAATAATCTAAGGACCAATATCTAAAGTTCCCTGTTGGCAAAAGTTGAGGATTGGCATAGGTAGAAGGTGACAAAGCTACCAATGGGTATGGACTAGTATCTTAATATTTGAATACTGTATTTCCATGATCTAGAAAAGTTTAGTCAATATTTAAAAGACACCTACCTGGACTAAAATAA